AAGCACATTCCAGGCTTAATTCTTATCCAGATTCTCCACTGACTGAAGATAGTCATTCTACCCAGTCAAGCTCTTGTACTCAGCTTTTTAGTCCAGGTATTCATCATGTTTTCACATCCCTATCTTTGATATGTTTCTACCCTGAATTACGTGTCACATTCAAGTGGTGGTCTAAGAGTTGGAGATATTGGTGGTGTAGTCATATATCTGCCATTCAAGTGTTCGATGGTTTGGGTTCATGGAAAGTTCTTGGAAACCCTACCGTAGGCATAATACTATATTGCAAGAGTGTCATCGTTACAATTTTGTATTTTCTAAGCTACGTTAAGATTATTGGTGGCTATTTTCAACAGGAGAGGTTGCTTATAAACAGGGATCTGGGTGTTTTCTGCCTGTCCGTGCCAAATCCCAGGCACCAAACAATGAGGCAAGGCCATTCTACACATACCATGAGCAGGAAGAGCAGTCATTGGAAAGAAACATTCAGACGTTCCCCTCCAATGAAGAAACTGACATTGCGACGAACCCAAATCTGGAGAATGGTATGACAACCATTGGAAATGGAAACTACTCGCTCATCATGAAAAAGCCTCTGGGTGAAACCTTGAAGAAAGTGGACAGCTTCTCCAGTTGGATTGCTAGTGAACTTGGAGAAGTTGATGATTTAGACATGCAATCAAGTGATGCAATTTTATGGAGTACTATGGGAATTGAGTATGAACACAATATGGCAGCTCAATTGCACGTGGACACACACATGCTAAACCCTTCTATTTCCTTTGACCAACTCTTTAGTATTAGTGATTTTTTGCCGAACTGGGCTTATTCAAATCTGGAGACCAAGGTACTTAATCTTAATCTCTAACTTTGGTCTGAGGGTATAAATTTTCATTTAGCAAGTATGAGCATTTATCTTTTATCCGTAGAATAATATATTAAAGAGTGATGATGCCTGGCTGCTTTAGATGTGTTGTAGTCCAGTAAATTATCTTTAATCAGTCCAAGATTGACTAATTTACATTATGATGCTTTTTTCCTTGTGATTCTTTCTTGATTTAAGTTCCTAAATCATGAGCTCCCATGTTGATTAATTTGACACACAAAACTCTCCGTTAATATATTTCATGTTCTCATGCTTGATCAACATTCCTAGTTGAAGGTTGAACCGCTGTTACTGTACTGCAAGCAATATCTTTTCTATTGTTAATCAGGTCCTTATCTCTGGCACATTCCTCAAGAGTG